CTCTTACGACTGTACAAACCATAGTTGTCAGTTCAATGCTGCAGCTCAGACTTCCAGATGCAATAGTGAAAATGCATATTACTTCAAATTAAGACTGTCCCTTCATTTTATTGGATACCATTTAGTTACTTTGGCCTAGGAGTCTCTAAAAACCAAAATTAGTGTTCTTATTTATTAACTGGATTTTTTTATTCTGCCCTCCCCAAAGCAAGAGACTTGTTACAATAAAATTACATTACATTAAAATCATTAAAACAGTAAAATTCAAGAGGTAGCAGCAATTACATAAAAAACCTGTTAGGGTCACGTAGGTGGAATCAATGGGTACTTCAGTAGATTGGGAACTAGAGCAGGGAGGCCAACTGAAATGGACGCCTGCCACCTCACCCAAAGGCCTGGTGGAACAGCTCTGTTTTATAGGCCTTGTGGAACAAAAAAAAAGGTCCTGCAAGGCCCTGATCTCCAGTGAGAGCTGATTCCACCAGGCTGGAGCCAGGGCAGAAAAAGTCCTGACCCTGGTCAAGACTAGGAGGACATCCTTTGGGCCAGGGTAACCAGTAGATGTTGATCCAGTGAGTACAAGGCTCTTCGGGGCACATATGGGGAGAGGCAATACTTCAGATATATCGGTACCAAGCTGCGTAAGGTTTTAAAGGTTAATACTAGTATCTTGAAGGGGATGCGGTACTCAAATGGTAGCCAGTGCAAGCGGCATAATACTGACCGATCACATGCCTGCACAGGAGATATGGTTAGAAGGTGTGCCACCACATTCTGCACTACCTGGAGTTTCTGGATCAGTCTCAAGGACAAGCCCATGTAAACCAAGTTACAGTAATCAAGCCTGAAAGTAACCATTGCACTGTAGCCAAGTCCAGGGGAAGAGGTAGGGGGCCAGACCTGGCAACTGCAGTGACCTGGGCCTCCATTAAAAATGAGGCATCCAGGATTACCCCCAGGCTCCTCACCTTCTGGGTCAGCACAAGTGGTGCAACATCGCTTCAGTGGGCAACCCGATCCCCGCCTCAAATCCCCCGCTCACTTAGGTACAGGACCTCCATCTTTGTTGGATTAAGTTTCACCTGGCTCTTCTGCAACCAACCAGCCACTTCCTCCAAAGCCCTAGTCAGATTCTCTGGGGCAGAGTCCAGGCAGCTGTCCAATAACATATAGAGTGGGGTGTCATCCGCATATTGGTGACATCCCAACTCAGACCCTCAGACCAACTGGGCAAAGGGGGCATATGTTGATGTTGAACAGTATTGGTTAGAGGATCGCCCCCTGCGGCACACCACATTCAAGAAGATGTCACAGGGAGACCCTCTCTCCAAGCGCCACACTCTGTCCCACAGAGAAAGGAGGAAAACCACTGAAGGGCAGTCCTCCAAACCCCTATGTCGGTGAAGGAGTGAGTCATAAGATCATAGATCTAACAATAACAGCAGAACGGACCTGCCCCAATCCAGGTGCCTCCAGAGGTCATCCGTACAGGCAACTAGCACCATCTCCATCCCATGACCAGGGCGGAAACCGAACTGGAAGGGGACGAGGATAGATGCATCATACAAGAAAACCTGGAGTTGCTCAGCCATCACCCACTCAACTACCTTACCTAGAAATGGTAAATTTGAAACTGGGCGGTAGTTGGCCAGGACCATTGGGTTCAGAGTTGGTTTCTTCAAGCACAGGCAAACCACTGCCTCCTTTAACCCCGCTATGAAAGTCCCAGATAAAAGAGACAGATTGATTATATCTCCCAGGGGGGGGGCGAATACCATCCCCACAGGTCTTGACCAGCCAGGATGGGCATGGGTTAAGGAGGCAAGTGGCTGGCCTCACAGCTGCCAGGACCTTGTCGACATGATTTGATGAATCTAAACACAAAATCTAGTTTTCAAGGCCCTTTACAGCAGTAGCTTATGCCTTAATAAAATAACCCCACCTCTTTCGCTTTGTGGTAAATGTTTCCGTAGAGCTGAGCTACTTTGTGCAAGTGGTGGTCTGCCAGCTGAACTAGGGATACACGACAACAGATTCACATGGTAAATAATATAGCCTGGGTAATTCAGGCCATAGAAGTCAAGCTTATCTGATGCAATGCCCAGTTCTAGGTACCGATGTCTTATAAGCAACAGTAATAACTTCATCTTCAGAAAGAAAAATATGACAACCAAAGACATAGTTTTATAGAAGAGTTAATTTTGTTATGAACATGAGGAAATGTGTCATGGTTCTAAGGTATAGTCAGATGGCATACAAATGCAACAACCTTGACAAAGCTAAGGAGGCCTGGATCTGGATGGGAAACTTCCTGTGAACTCTACATAAGCCATCTATAGTTCCATGAATTAATGGATACTCATTCAGAAAGAGGCTGTGGCTCAGTAGGGAAAGGTTTGCATGCATAAGATCCTAGGTTCAATTCCCGGCATGTCCAGTTAAAATGATCAGGTGGCAGGTGATGTGAAAGAACTCTCCCTGACCCTGGAGAGCTGCTGCCAGTCTGAGTAGACAATACTGATCTGTCTGATTCAGTGTAAGGCAGCTTCATGTGTGTTCATATGGTTCCTGAGAGTTCTAGCATAGGGCACAACAATATAACTAGAAGGGTTAACTCAATCTAGATCTGGAGAAGTTTTAATATATGGAATTCAGTCTTGCTTGTTTCCAATTTTATTTGTATAGAAGGCCTGTGGCATCATCCAAATTTTTTTAGGAAAAGCCATGTGTAATGATTTCATGTCTTGGTGTGTGTGTTTCTTTAAATGTTTAGTGTGACTGCAGTAATGTAAGGAGAATGATAGAGGGAGATAAATGTCATGTGATTGGCTGTTGACTAAAAGTGTGGGAGGAGAGAGGTGATTCAGTGTTCTTGGAGAGACAAGTGTTGAGAGTTTTTGTGAGAGGAAGCAGTTGGAAGTCAGCCTCTGTGGCTATATGAGAGAGTTTAGCCTGTGTGGCTATATATGAAAGAGAGAGATAAGCCTGTCAGAGTTGAGTTTTGGTGTATGAGAGACTGTGTGTGATGCCAAGCTTTTGTCAGTTATATTTTATTTCTTCAACATCAGTTCAAAAATACACAGAAACCTATTTTGTTCTTTTATAAATAAATCATTATTTGTTTAAACTTATCCCAACAATCAGAACAGTCCTTCCTCAGGGCCACATAGTCCTCTGAAGCGCCCAGACACTGGGTCATTCTTCCAAAATACAGAGATTTGGAATTTTAATTCCTGGCAGCAGAAATCTACTAAGTTCATGTACACAGTGTAAAAATATAAACTAGGGTGATAAACAGTTTTCACTGGGAGATGAATACTACAATACATTATCAATTCACAGTTCATCTATAATTAGACACAAAATTTAACAATTTAATTTTCAAGCAAATGGAAAAGCTACAAAACAGTCTGTAAAGATGAACGAATTGACTAGAGCAGCAGTGAGGATGAGGCTTAGCAGCTCACATGGCATCAGCAGCATTTACCAATAGAGAGAAAAAGAGGAAATTGAAATGATGGTAGTTGC